ATGTTACTCAGTACTTAAATGTATAATTACACTGCAACAAGGACAGCTTAAAATAAAGTGTAACCCCAAAAAATACAGAAAAAAATATTAAAATGCCTGTCTTTGCAATTTTAATCAAAATCTAATAACTTACTCTGCCTCTAAAATGCATCTAAAACCTGCCTTGCTTCTGCTATTTCCACTTTTCATGATCCAGTCAATTCCTGATGGATAAAATCCCAGAATATCCTGTTTTATATAATACTTCACATTATATAAAAAAGTAAAATGGGTTGCAAACATCATTACATTGGGACTTGTAAATTAAATAAATATGTTTAATAGATATCAAATTAAATGTGCAACATATCAGTGATTTGACACTCAAAATGTTACCACAAAAAATGTTTAGCAAAAAAAAATAAAAAATAGATACATGCATAAATAAAGCTCAATGTACGTAAAACAGTCCTTGTTGTGCCTGCATTTCCGTTTTAAAACTACAGTATGAGCATCATGTTGGAGCTGTAAATGTCCTCAGAGGAATCAAACATCTAAAATTTTAAGATATGCAAACATCTACGCATCTAAACCATCTTCCTCTTTAATCTATTTCAGTCTCTGTTTGTTCGTTTTGCCCAACATCATCTATTTCATATGCAAATTCTTGCAAGAAACTTTTAAGGAGAAGAAAAAATAGATACTTTATTTCATCCACTGAGATTAGGTGTTTGTTGAGTTTTATCGAGCAGGACAGGCTGCAGTCTTTCTTTTGCGTTTTTGATAGAAGGCCTCAAAGGAAGCTCTTACACTCTACAATCGTACAAACACTAATGCGGGACGTTTGTCATGCATTTAGGACACCTGCTGTGCACACATCGTGAAAACAAGCTTCTAAAGTGTTTAAAAGTACTCTCACACAGAGATCTGCTTAGGATCGTTCGTGCCATTAGGGAACAGTGGTGTGTTACGGTGGTAGAAACAGATGGTGACAGGCTGTGAAGAAATCTTGCTCATTTTAGCTGACTCTCTGCATATACTGACAGGATGCTAGCTGTGTATGTTGCAGAAAAATCTGACTAGAAACTCTGCAAGCACAAATGGAGAGCATACTATGCATAAGAGCAATGCATTCTGGACAGCATTATGGATGTCCTTAAAGGGAAAGTTCATCCAAAATCATCAGTTTACTCGAACTTATGCCATTCAAAACCCATATTATTTTCTTTCTTTCATGAAGCACAAAAGAAAACATTTTGCAGAATGTACAAGCTGCTTTTTTCTCTATTCAACAAAATCAACAATAATCCACAAGTCTTGAGAAGCGAAAAACTGCATGTTTGCAATAACAGAGTCCTCTTTCCATAATATTGCTAACAATAAACTCATCTACAATTTGGATGAACTGAGGGTGAGTAAATTTTAAATTTTCAACTATTCCTTTAAAACATGGTCCAATGAGACTGACAATCTTGTTTTAGATAAACAGATTTAAAGAAAGAAAAAAATGCATCCTCTGAAATGCATCAAGACTCTCAATTTGTCCTACTTTTGTGGTGATATATTAAAAAAAAAATCCTCTTTTTCCAAAAATCCTCAAAAATCCAAATGCAAGTGACCATCAGGTGAAAGCATCAAGGCCAGAAGCCCATGCAAATGCATGGCTGTATTATGTTAATATCCTTTATTTTATTCAGTGCTCTAGTGCAGACAGACAGTTCACTATATTAGCAAATTAAAACCACTATCACCTGCAAATCAATATGGAGAAAGAGCCAAAGCCAGAGCCTCCAGGGCAAAGAGTATTAAAGAAGAAAGAAGGAAGAGAAGGTGCTCAATATGCCAACTGTACAAAGTTGTCTTTTTAGAGGAATTAGACTAAACAAACCAAATATAAAATGCTACATTAAATGTAACAGGTGATAGGAAAAGAACAGACCACAACAAGAGAACAACTATGCATGAATGAATGAATGAATGTGGGTTAAATATTATAAAGATGTGTCAAAGCTGTGGTTTTAGTGGTAGACCAACATGTATAGTCGAGTATGGCCTGTCACCACATGCCCTGTTTTCCTGTCTCTCAACAATCTCCCATACAAGGCACAAAAAATAAATACATATTAAAAATAATAAAAAGTAAAAAACTGAAAAATATATATAATGCAAAATAGATATAAATGTAAATTTAAAAACAAATATTTGTATAATACATTACATACATCTATTAAAGGGGTCATAGGATGCCCATTTTCCACAAGTTGATATGATTCTTTAGGGTCTTAATGAAAAGTCTGTAACATAGTTTGGTTAAAATTTCTCAATGGTAGTGTAAAAAACACCTTTTTTACCTGTCAAAAACAGCTCTTTTCGGATCAAGCCGTTTTTCTTTATCATTATAGGGTGGTTGTGTACACACACTGCCAACACACATTTCAGTTCAAACAACTTGTAAAAGTGCATGTAGAATCCTATGACCCCTTTAAAGAGTAATAACAGAGTAATAAAAGGTCTTCGGATCATTATGTCAATGACAAGATTCAGTGATGCTTAATAACATTATATGTAATACAGAGGTGCTTAGAGTTCTTACATCCTTAATAAAAGGATCTAATCTCTTTACCAGATGGCCACAAATGGTGAAAATCTGCAGTGTTTTATGTGTGTTTACACATTCACTTCTCACTTGCAGTGTTTATTTGACGCATTCAATGATTCCCTGAAGCCAAATGCCCACAAACCAGACATGACCTCTTTTTTGTTTTGGCTGTACTTGTCGTGAAGATCTTGTTAATCAGGCTCATAATGACTACATTAAATCATTTATATATTTCTGAATAATTACTTACATGAGAGAGAGAGAGAGAGAGAGAGAGAGAGAGCAGTACATACTTAAAGCACTAGAGAGCGCTGTAGACTACATCATCTACCTCAGATCATCTACTCGTGGATTGAATATGACTTCTGCCCGGATCTCTTTGAATTACAGTATGAACAGAAGAACCTCAGGACTTAATTGAGTGGATTAGTGTCATACTTTGATTGGCATTTTACACTGGACTTAAGCCTAATCCATGATAAACGGATCCATTAGCAGAACACATTTCCTGAATATACACAACATTTATATACATGTATATGCTCACCAGTGCTGCATTTATTTGATTCTATTTGCATATATTTTAAAATGTAATTTATTCCTGTTATGCAAAGCTGAATTTTCAGCATCATTACTCCAGTCTTCAGTGTCACATGATCCTTCAGAAATCATTCTAATATGCTGATTTGCTGCTTAAGAAACATTTCTTATTATCAGTGTTGAAAACATTTGTGCTGCATCATATTTCTATGGAAACCGGAATCTTTGATTAATAGAAAGTTCAAAAGAACAGCATCTTTCTTTTTGAAATGCCAAAGCAAAACCAGAACTTTAGCATGCAGGTACAGTAAACATCCAGCTACTACGTTGACTGTATATCACACACACATACTATATATACTCACGCATGCATCATCTACTATCTCTAAACACAGACTGCCAGCACAGCCGATCGCCACACACGGGGCTAAATTTACCGTTTCTCAATATAAAACTTGATTCTGCTAAAGCCTGTGTTTGTGAGCCAGAGCTGCGGATTTAAATGTGCATCGTCAACATAATTATTGTGCAATGCTGTGCAGTGATAAAAAATACTAACCACAGTCAGATCTGGCCAATTCACATTCATAATCATGCCTGTCCGTTTTTATTCATTACATCACGTATCCAAAAGTCAAGCTCTGGATCCTCAGTTCTTTTGGATCATTTTGTGTCCAATCTGTACCCTCCTATCAGAGATGACACACACACACACACACACACACACACACACAAGAACAAACTCTCCTTTCCCTTGACAAAGCCTTAAATGGCATTTGAACGTGTTTGCAGGGAGAGAGAGAGAGAGGGAGATGTCTCCTGGGTTGCCTAGCAGACTTACTAACTCAAAAATAAACCAAGCCACCCTGTTTTGCTTAGATATGACTGAAAACAAACACACACACACACACACACAAAATAGCTCAAAACCAGTAGGCTGTTAAAACAAACACTCATCAAATAGCCTTTCAAAGAATCATGGCGTCACCATGAAATATACCATGGACATGCCACATTTTATGGACACCCTCATGATTTGAATATCATGAAAGTATCTAACAGTAAAATGGCAAATGGATATAGTAATTGTTCAGTGTCATGGTGTGTATAAAGTGCCATGGTATTACCATCACTAAACCATGGTATAACCACAGTACTATTTTGAAAGAAAAACACACACATATTTACAGCTGATCTATCTCGATGAGCATCTGCATATCACCTTATAAGGCAAAGGCTTACTAGGGATGCATATTACAGTGTATCGGTTATCGGTTAGCAGTTATCAGCGGATATTACACATGTATTTATTTAATTGTGCATTTATTTTTACATTTCGATTATATTTACTGTCATCTAACACTCACTACGGTTCTTCTTTAAAAACACTAATAATTTAATTCCTGTTAAATGTAATGTACCGTGGTAATACTATATTTTTTAAACGCATACAATGGTAGCGCTCTGCTATAGCATACTGTATAATGACATTCTTTGAAGAACTTTGTAAATACTATGCTATATGCTATTATTATCAAACAGTACCATGGTATTACCATCAGATATCATCACTATACCATGGTACCACTACAATACCATTTGTAAGAGGAATATAATGTACACACACAGATTTAATTCTGATACATAAGGTATCTGCAGAGCCATAAGATGGAAAACTTCTGATATCATGCCGTAGTCTATGACAATACAATGCACCATGCCTTAAACAAGGATTACCAGGGTACCAAAAACCATATATATATATATATATAATATGATATACAAATCTTTAGTATATATGTTTATAAAATCACTTTATTACATGAAAAGAAGAATCAACTCAACCTTACACTATTAACATACCCACACACATCTTTCTAACCTGTGTGTCCTCTCCACTGTCAGCAGGATGTTGGTTTTTGCCTGTTCCCCACCCGCCTTGGCTCCCGAGGTGGAGGTGAGCACTGCTCTGCGGGGGGCTGGCGAAACAGGGCCGGGGGGCCACAGCTCGGGTGGGCACCTGTGGGATGGGGAGGGCGCTGTGGATCAGCTTCGGCAGTCCAGACTTCATGTTAGTGACCACGAGGATAGCAGGCATCTTCCCCTGGACCCAGGACCAGTCCACTGTATCTTACCACACACTGTAGCATCCAGCGTGCTTGAGATATTATTCCAAATACAGTGTGCTTGAGATATTATCCGAGACGCTCTTCTAAAAGCAAATGTGAATCTGTTTAGTACTTGATTAAATTCTGTCCCAGGTTTTTCTGAAGTACATACCCCAAAACGGAAAATCCATGACAGGAAAAATCACAGCATCATGGGAAGGGCAGGAATATAGAAGAGCAGCAAACGTATGACAGCAGCAGCAAATTGTGCTCTGCTGGTGACTGCAGGGATTTGAATGCACTTGTCCACGATCTCTCTCTCTCTCTCTCTCTCTCTCTCTCAAGCAGGTGTGGCTTTAAGACGGCAGCAGTAACTAGTGGCTCCTGCCTGACACCAGTGTATAAGCACTAGCTTTCTCTCAGCTGTGCTGTGCACATTCCCATAAACACACACAAACACACATGAAGCAGCGGAGGCTGGATATGATTAGCTTGTGTGTGTGTGTGTGTGTGTGTTTTGTTGAGAATGGAAGGAACTATGCATGACTTACATGTGCGAATACTGTAGATTAGAATTGACAGCTTGTGTGTGTGTGTCTGTGTGTGTGTGTGTGTGTGTGTGTGTGTGAGAGA